AAACACCAACCATTTTCATTGAGAAGTTTTCGAATAAACACGTAATATTGTCTGGGTCCCCAGGACCCGGTAGCGAGTGTTTGTGTAGCAATTTGAAGCGCGGGTCCCTAAGTGTTAAGAGGGTAATACGGGGGTTGGAAGTTTGTATGAAAGTCCTATGTTTTTTAAGTAAGAGACTTGAAATTAAACATATACTAGCAAACCAGTGAACCAAATGTTCACCAAAACCTGATTTCTCGAAAACCGGAAGTGCTACGTTACTCAAATCCGGTTTGTAGTCTTATCAGACTATTCTTAACTTATAACTTAAACATTCTCTTTATCTATCTCTTACGGTTTGGCCGCTGAAACAGCACCACAGACAGACTGACGGACGGACGGACTTGTCTAATAGATAAGAGATGCTCTATAGATGGTGCAGAGGGTTACTAATAATGTATCTTTAGAAATAAACCCCCTTTTGGGGTCAAAAAGTATGTGCAAATAACTAAGTCCACGCGTACGAAGTCGCGGGCGGCAGCTAGTAATAATATTGTCACAAACGCTCTCGAAACGTAACCGCGAAAGTGCTAGAGATCGAATTTGCCAGATCACCGCGGGTCGCGATAGAGGTCGAGTAATGCGGCACATTCTAAAATGAGCCTTATGTAGTGCGGCGTAAGGGAGAAAGTGCAACGACATCTGCACTTGTTTACAAGTTATGCGCGTTACCCGCGTAGGTATAAGTAGGTACTTCGTACTCGCGGGTGCTAGCTAATTCTCAATTTAACAGGTACTTTCTAGAATGCGTCGATCGGCGTATATAAGCGCGATTGGCGCCGCGCAGAGATAGTTGAATTTCAACAGCGATTTCTGAGCGAATCCAAAGGCGATCAAAGTGTAAGAAAAGTGTTCAAGTGCGATTGTTTAGAAACTTGTATAGTGAAATAGTGTTTAGTGAGTGTTTTGTAATTAACATTGTGTGTTAATTGTGTGAACTGTGTGGTGAATAAATAACTGTCAAGCGTGAACTGGCATATAATTTCGAACCCCATCCCGACTCGTAACAATATGAAAAGAAACAAATCATTATACGGTATATTTGTTTCTTAGGTTTTCACGCACATCACTCAAAAAATAAAACTATTTAACATAAGAAGGAGACAGAAAGCCTCTCTTGAGTTTGTTTCGCCGGTTCTTCTCGGAAAGGTCTCCCAATTTTGGAACCGGTGGTAGTTTACGGTATTTAGGGTCAAATAAATAAACTCTTAAATAATAAATTCATACATAGACAATAAAACTTTAAAAATCGAACAATGAAATAACCGAACGCTCAATAAAAGTCTTTCGAAGGTAGCTCGACAAATTAAATAAAAGTTTAATTCTGACGACGTAGCCTGTAAAGGCTACGAAGCGTCAATAAATAAATAAAGTTTCGTGCATTAACCCTTAAAAACTAGTTTCATTATACGGTAGTTTGAAGTATGTGTAGTTACCTGCAGATTGGTTTGATGCGCGTGCTTGTTAGTGGGCGGGCTGGGCGGGTCCCCGAGCTGGGTCTTGGCCTCGGAGGGCGGGTAGGGCGCCCCAGAACCGTCTAGAATCTAAACAAACATACAAATCCCTGTAAACAACTTTTTTTCTAAAATAATATTAATAGGAACCTAATTTGTTTAAAAAGTTTCTTAATAAATTTTTTTGGTCGCTGTTATAAAGTCTATTAATCTCTTATCTATTAGACAAGTCCGTCCGTCCGTCCGTGGTGCTGTTTCAGCGGCCAAACCGTAAGAGATAGATAAAGAGAATGTTTAAGTTATAAGTTGAGAATAGTCTGATAAGACTACAAACCGGATGTGAGTAACGTAGCACTTCCGGTTTTCGAGAAATCACGTGATTTCTATTTCAAACGAAACCACACAAAATCTCCGAAGTTCTCAATTAATTAATTTTTTTTTTTTGGTGAACATTTGGTTCACTGGTTTGCTAGTATTGTATAATAGACTTTATATTGAGGAGCAAGTGGTTAGCGCGTTCGGCTGCGATCGTTGAATTTAAACAACTTTCGAAGTGGTCGGTCATTGGATGGGTCACCAAAAATCATCTATCTCGAGTTCCTCCGTGCTTCGGAAGACACGTTTTGCCATTGGTCCCGGCTGCATCTGCAGTCGTTAGCACCCGCCAATCCGCACTGGGCCCGCGTGGTGGATAATGGCTCTTTCTCCCTATTCCATCCATAGGGAAGGCCTGTGCCCCAGCAGTGGGGACATTAATAGGCTGATGATGAATGGTATAATATTCTAATCGATTCATTTTTAATACTTGTTGTAACTTTATGATATACGTCTCGGCCGCTGTACCCCATATGTCTATTAAGTAAAATAGTTACATCAATAACATAATGAATACATTACAGGCCTGATTCTTGAATTATTCTTTAAATTTATCATCATTTTCTGCTTTTCATATTATTTTGAAGTGAAAAGTTTCTTTAGTATCGTTGTGTGAGATTTGAGATCAATGAATCTGAAGTAGAGTATTTGACACAAGGCAGGTAGGTAGGTATTCGTAATTTTGTAAGATTTCGCATAGCGGAAGAGACATATAGCTAAAAGAAGTCTTAGGCTTACTGTTAGGCGCTATGTGCTATATATACATATATATACATAGCGACATCCCTTTCTAACTGTACAATGTTCTCATTCGTATAGCACGAACATATAACAGAAAATTTAATGAACTTGAGTTTTTCGGAATATCGAAACACACATTCAAAAGAGCGAGTTTTGCAGTATTTCAGTTAGTACGTTCGGTATGCTATTAAGGCAAAATTATATAACATTTCTTCTATTAGCATATAGACTCGGGTCGCTAGAAACAGTTGGTGATGAAAGAATATGTCCTCCAGTATACAGAATAAATATATTATATATACACAGTCAGGTCATAAGTATTGTCACACAGCAAATAATTTTCTTTTAGAATGCTGGTAACAAAAAAGTTTATTGAATTCGAATTTCGAATTGTTAATGAAAATAAAAATGCATACTTTTTAGAAATTTACTCATTTTTAAATATGGAGTGGACGCTTATAGAAGACCGTGTTGCAGTTATTGCGTTGCATCGTTGCGGTTACGCGCCAATTCAAATTTTTGACATACTGAAAAATTTGAATAAAACCAAAAGATTCGTTTATCGTACCATCAAACGATACAATGAAGACTCTAGTGTAGATGACAGGTCAAGAAGTGGTCGCCCTCGGCCTGTTAGGACTCCAGCAGTGATAAAAGCTGTGAAGGCGCGAATTCAAAGAAATCCCAAACGTAAGCAGAATCTGTTGGCCCTTCAGATGGGGTTAAGCAGAACCACGGTGAAAAGGGTGTTAAATGAAGACTTAGGGCTTCGGGCATATCGAACAAAAAACAGGACATCGTTTGAATGCTCGTCTAATGGACCTGAGACTGAAGAGATGCCGCGCTTTGTTGAAGCGGTACGCGGGAAAAAAAATATCGGGAAATTCTTTTGTCCGGATGAAAAAATTTTTAACGTAGAAGAGAGCTACAACAAACAAAATGATAAGGTGTACGCACACAGTAGTGAAGAAGCGAGCAACCGTATTCCGCGTGGCCAACGAGGTCATTTTCCATCCTTGCTCATGGTATGGTTGGGAGTTTCTTATTGGGGCTTAACAGAGGTATATTTTTGTGAGAAAGGTATAAAAACGAATGCAGTTGTGCATCAAAATACAGTCCTGACGATCCTTGTGGAACCTGTTTCTTATACCATGTTCAAAAACAGGCACTGGGTATTCCAACAAGATTCGGCGCCAGCTCATAGAGCGAAGAGCACACAAGACTGGCTGTGAAATCGTGAAATCGACTTCATCCGGCACGAAGACTGGCCCCCTTTCAGTCCAAATTTGAGTCCGTTAGATTACAAGATATGGCAACACTTGGAGGAAAAGGCGTGCTCAAAGCCACATCCCAATTTGGAGTCACTCAAGACATCCTTGATTAAGGCAGCCGCCGATATTGACATGGACCTCGTTCGTGCTGCGATAGACGACTGGCCGCGCAGCTTAAAGGCCTGTATTCAAAATCACGGAGGTCATTTTGAATAAACTTTATTTTCATAAGAATCTATGTTTTGTTAAGTTCATTTTGGTATGTAAATGGTTACATAATGAATAAACTTGTTGCAATTATTTTATATTAAACATGTGACAAAATTTATGACCCCACAAGGTAGGAAAATATACATACAGACCATGTCTTTCTACATCCTAGTACTGTTTAAAATTCCATATAAAACCTATTGTTAGCCTTATTATAAGATAGTAGTCAAATCAAATAGCGCGCGCTTTCGCGACTTTCTGTTACACACTTCCGTCCCATTTCACGAAATCACTCCCACAAATTGCAGGAAAGAGAGAGGAAACATGTCACACATCAATAAAAACATTTTCATAAAATAATATTTTGTAAATATCCTTGGTGATTTTTTTTTACTGTTTAATAAGTTTTATTTGGAAAGTCTCATAAAAATGTTGTTAAAACTGGCCAAATACATACATTTTAAAATTATTTAAAAAAATAATCGGGAACTTTTTTCGTCTAAGTTGTAGTATTGGTAGCGTCCATGTTTGTGCCTGTGTTTGTTTGTGTGAAAAGCTAGCTCGGTTTCGTAAGGAATGCATGCAGTTTTTGCATCAAGAAGATTCGTGATTGTGTTAGGGTACATTTTATGTAGGTAACTATTATGACAATACCACAGTTCTATTTTGCTGACCAAACAAAAAAACATTACTGCATACGTATTCTATAAAGCGAAGGATAATTCCCATTAAAGTCTTGCCATATCTGCATCAGAATAAATCTATTTCTAGATAATTAATTAATTGGTGATGATGATATGATGGTGTCTCACCCTCTGCACGTAGGGCACGGGGATGGAGCCGGTGCGGCCCTGCGTGTTCCTGGCGGTCCCCCATTGTCCCTCATGATAATAATATGATGGTGTCTCACCCTCTGCACGTAGGGCACGGGGATGGAGCCGGTGCGGCCCTGCGTGTTCCTGGCGGTCCCCCATTGTCCCTCATGATAATAATATGATGGTGTCTCACCCTCTGCACGTAGGGCACGGGGATGGAGCCGGTGCGGCCCTGCGTGTTCCTGGCGGTCCCCCATTGTCCCTCATGATAATAATATGATGGTGTCTCACCCTCTGCACGTAGGGCACGGGGATGGAGCCGGTGCGGCCCTGCGTGTTCCTGGCGGTCCCCCATTGTCCCTCATGATAATAATATGATGGTGTCTCACCCTCTGCACGTAGGGCACGGGGATGGAGCCGGTGCGGCCCTGCGTGTTCCTGGCGGTCCCCCATTGTCCCTCATGATAATAATATGATGGTGTCTCACCCTCTGCACGTAGGGCACGGGGATGGAGCCGGTGCGGCCCTGCGTGTTCCTGGCGGTCCCCCATTGTCCCTCATGATAATAATATGATGGTGTCTCACCCTCTGCACGTAGGGCACGGGGATGGAGCCGGTGCGGCCCTGCGTGTTCCTGGCGGTCCCCCATTGTCCCTCATGATAATAATATGATGGTGTCTCACCCTCTGCACGTAGGGCACGGGGATGGAGCCGGTGCGGCCCTGCGTGTTCCTGGCGGTCCCCCATTGTCCCTCATGATAATAATATGATGGTGTCTCACCCTCTGCACGTAGGGCACGGGGATGGAGCCGGTGCGGCCCTGCGTGTTCCTGGCGGTCCACCATTGTTCCTCATCGCGGTTGATCACCATGAGCCTCTCGCCGCGACGGAACGGCAGGTCGTCGGGGTCCTGCGCAATAAAAAAACCAGTTTTTTATTAAATCATCATCATCATCATCAGCCTATTGATGTCCCCACTGCTGGGGCACAAACCTTCCCTATGGATGGATTAGGGAGATTGAGCCATGATCCCCACGCGGGCTCAGTGCGGGTTGGTGGCTGCTAACGACTGCAGATGCAGCCGGGACCGACGGCTTAACGTGCCTTTCGAAGCACGGAGGTGCTTGAGATAGTAAATTTTTGGTCACCCATCCAATGACCGACCACTGCGAAAGTTGCTCAACTTCAACGACCGCATCCGAACGCGCTACCCACTGGCGTCATCGAGCTCCTCTTTTTAAATATTTCCAATAAAATAAGTATGTAAGGCTTGTGTTATGGGATACTAGGGTAACGAAAAGCATATACAGGTTTGATAGATAATACTAGTTAAGTACAGTGATATACGAGGAGCTCGATGGCGCAGGTGGTTAGCATTGTTCGGCTGAGATCGTTGAAGTTAAGTAACTTTCGCAGTGGTCGGTCATTGGATGGGTGACCAAAAATTTTCTATATCGAGTTCCTCCGTGCTTCGGAAGGCACGTTAAGCTGTTGGTCCCGGCTCCATCTGCAGTCGTTAGCACCCGCCGAACCGCACTGGGCCCGCGTGGTTGGTCATGGCTAGTGTTGTTAGGTGTCCTGATTTGCGCGGGACATCCCGATTTTCAGGGGTCTGGGGACGCGTCCCGATTTGTACCTGATCTGGACGCTAAATGTCACGATTAAAAAAAAAAAAAAATTTAGGTAATTAATATACTTGCACTAGTAATTTAAAACGCAATAAATTAAACCCAGACTTAAAAACTCTTGTTTTTTGTTTACTGTCCCGATCTGCAACCCTAAGTCTTAAAATGAAACGTATTAAAATGAAAAAAAAAGGTAGATACATAAGTTGTAGGCAATTGTTTCTAATTTCATTTTGTATATAACTGTTTATAATAGTAAAATGAGTCGGAAAGGAGATATTGTCAAAAAACTGCATTTAGGCGCCATTTTGCCAATATGGCGGCGCGAGCGGCAAAAATACGAAGTGGCAAAGTCGAAATGAGCACCTCAAAATCTACAAAATTACCAATTTTCAAAACTCCCGGAAAACTTTCCAGGTAAAACTATCAAATGACTGTATTAAGTAGAAACATTATGTAATAGAACCTAATAGAATCTGCACCGGTTCATTGCGATTTATTTTTATTTTTATTATTCGGTAAAGAGAAGATAATTATACTTTTGGTTTCATCATTAATTTGTGAACATTGGTGTGGGTTGTACACTTACCTAATTAGTATATACATTATAAATTTTAGTAATATTTAGTGTTTAACTGTTGTATGTTCTACTAAACTAATTTTTAAAAATAAAGAAATATTATTGTTATTAAAGAATAGATAATGCAGTCCTATGCACTAACCAGGCAGTGGTAGTCATTAACGTGGCCTACTGTCCCCCTTCCGGGTTATTTTTACAATGCGCCGGCGCATGAATGGCGGCGGTTACTCATCGCTCGTCGAACGCCAGACAACTCTAATATTAGATTTATTAGTAAACTATTAATTAGCCTTACTACGAAACGGCGTTTCTGTGCACTGCGTTATATACATAATGGAATTTTTGCATCTTATATATGTAGTTGGTCAGTTTCGACATTGTTATAGTTCAGTATTAGATATAGTATTAGCAACAGGAAGCTTTGCCGAGTCACCTTGTAAAGTAGCAAAACGTAAAAGCTCAGAATGAAATTGCTGGAATGACTACCATACATCTAACACTCCCCAAAACTTGTCCCAAAAGGAACTTCGGATAAAGAAATCGTCCTTACCCTAGAAGCTGAAGATAGAGGTGACCGGCGAAGAAAGAAGTGTGGCGGCGACATCTATATGCCCCACAGTTATACAACGGATTGTTATGTACCCTTTGGCTGGAGTCTTCGTGAAGTAAAACCAGTTGATGCTTCTAAGTATTTATTTAATTACTGCTATGCCGATCTGGCTTACACTCAGACTAATTTAGAGAGGAGGTGTTATATGAAGACGAATAGCGTCGCGAACCGGTAGATGAGTCTTGATGAGTGCCTGAGGCGAGTATCTGATGTAGACTGACTTGGTCCCGAGGGATTTGGGGCTTTTATAGGAAGGTGTAAACAAGTGCTCACGTGTTGCCGAATTGCGAATGTTCCGTGAAAGAATAAGGTGATATCGAGTCACCGTAGATTATCTGAAGTTCTAATGGTTTCTAATGAGAAGCGATAATGAGCTTTAATGATCGGTGTCAAGTAATCAACTATTTTATGGTGGCAATTTGGGTGGCCATGTCATACGCAATATGATGGAGGACAAAGGGTCTCATATTTAATTTAGAGGAAAACATCATGTGATCGTAAGGATCGTATGATGGTGGCGTGATGCGCAAATGATGATGCAATAAGTGGAGGAATATGCAAGTAATAGTTATGGTATATAACACTTCCCCTGTTAAAGAAAACAATGAGGTACGAATTGTTTTACAAAAAGAAATTACATAAATGAAAAAGTGAGGTAAATACAAAAAGAAATTACACAAAATGAATACAAAAAAAGAAATTACACAAAATGAAGTTATACAATAAAAGTTATAAGCTTATCTATCTATCTTATAAAGAAATTACATGAACAAAATAAAGTTTACAAACTTATCTGTCTTATGTTTACAATGCTTATGCTTAATGTGCTAAGTTTTGAGGTACAATTGTTGCTCTGATTTTGCTCTATAATTTGTTGCTTAATTGCTTGACGAGGCTTACAATGCTTTTTTTTTTTTTGATATTAGTTATTAATTATACAAAAATAATAAAAATGCTTATTACTATATGATTATATAAGTTTTTACTTAACTATCCAAATTATAACTATATTTTGCCTTATCAAATATGGGCGACTTCTGTCTTAAAGGTTGTCTTATTTCAACTTCTTCCTCCCTATCTTGCCTTATAGACATTCGTACTGTAGGTTCTACGGTTTTTCTCGTATTACATTGATTATAAATTTGAATACAACAGTTCCCATTGTTTGGGTCATTTCCATTATTGAAACAATTAAGAAATCTAAACAATCTAGTAATTTTACAAAGTTTATACATTAAAAATATTAAAACAGTGAAACATAAAACATAAACTATCCATGATACATGTTCATGAGGTACAAAAGAAAAAGTATTTCTCGCATCCGCATCAATCTGTTTTTCAAGGGTTTTCAATTTTACTGCAGCTAAGTTTAAATCATCTAATTGTATGTTATTTAATTGTAATGGTATTAGGCTATGTTTGGTGATATTGATTTTATTTTTATCACAGCAATCGTCTTCTGTGAGGTCAAATGTTATTTCGGGTGCCGTCCAATTCGTCGCGAGATTATCAGTGGCAATTAATTGAATTAAGTTAGCGTATGCTTTACAACCTTTATCTAATTCTACAATACCAGTGTTCATCAATTCATATTCAGTTAATTGTTCGTGACCTGCGCAATCTATAGTTAATTTGGTGGGTTTAGAATAAATAAATATCCATCTATTATTGGTTAGTTTTTGCCAAATTTCAAAGTTACCGTATAATAATTTTGTGTTACAATCGGATGGTAGGTTTCGTACTATTTTAGTTAAAAGTTGAGTTTCACATGAAGGATTTGAAATGGTAGAATATTCGTTAAGGTTATTGCAAATGAAGTGTTCAGATGAGAGGCTTTTACATCCTTCGAAGTTATTAAATTGAACATAAGATTGTCTGTTTGTAGTCATTCCAAGGTATCGCCTGTTTGGCTGAACAAGGGCAAATATTTCGTTATCATGAACGTGCGGAGTTGGTAATGGTAATACATGAAATAATTCAAATTCGTTTGTATTTACTAATGGTATATTGAGTATGAAAACTAATTTAAAGTTTATGTAAAAGACATTAAGAGTTGAAATATCAATAAGCAAGTGGATATCTTCCATATTTAATGGAAGTGGAAGTTCTCTACTTTGTTTTAAATAGTGTTGGTTATATGAGAGTTCCTTGTATACTTGACTTGGCGTAATAATATAGGGGTGGAGAATATTCTGTTTAGCGAAAAGAATGGAATTTAATAGCATTTCTAGGTCGTCGTAGATGTCTTCGCTCAAGGTACTTAATATTTCAAAATGAGTGTTCAACGTTGTTTTTATATTTAAGAGAGTAATATTAGAAGTAGTGTCATTCATGAAGCGGTTGATTATTTCAAAGTTCTTTAATATTAATTTTTCATTAGAATTTAATTTTTTAATAGTTGCATTGAAATTTTGAATCGCGGATTGAGTTACCTGTATTTGATTTTTCATTAGACTATATATTTCTTTGTCATCTGACAATACCTTTGTTATTGCTTCATCATAGTATAGTGCGTCTTCAGAATCCATTGTTCCGAATATAGTTTTTAAAACTGAACCTATTCCGTCGAACCATCCTCGTTTGGTTCGCTTAGAGCTAGTGAGGTGAGACAATGATGAGTAAAGTGTGTCTATTTTATCAATTTGTTTTTCAAGAGGTTTAAGCCTGCTGCTGCATTTAATAGGTATTTGGTCTAGAGCAAGGCATTTATTAGACGTAGTTTGGTAATTTTGTTGTAAGAAGGTGATTGCTTTGGGAATTGATGAGAAATCTTTAAACGTGATTAATTTCCAATGGTCTACTAAAATTTTCAGAGTCCCTACTCTGTCGAAATATAAACCTGCGCCTTTCTCTATCGGAGTTATCTTCATCGTTGCCGCGGCCGCAACGAATAACCTGAAATAGGATGATTCCCAGTTGATTTTATTTTATCGTTATTATTACTAACTGTTATAACATTATCTTTATTATTTAATTTATTTGCTAGTTTAATTCTATTTACATGTACTCTTATTA